CCCACCCCCCCCCCCCCCCCCCCCCGGGCAATGATTGCAGCGCAATAAAGGGGGTTTAGGCGGCACGCTTGCAGCAGTCTATTGTATAGGATTTAGTGGTCCATGGTAAAACCGATATTCTCTTCATTGAATAGACTTTCGTGCCGCATTCTAAAACCCATAAAATTCTCTCCATTTGTAGGCTTCGTGTCGTCATACCATTTCCTACACCATGCACTAGACCTCGCGACCAAGGTTGACGCGTATTCTTGGGGTGTTTCCATAATTTCCACTAGCTCTCTGTGTGGGATCCCGCGCGCGCGCGCAGAAAAAGCGCCCGAATATGTCGAAACCCCGGGGATTTTGTCAAAATGTCCCCGACCGGGGACATATAAGGCCCATCCCCCCCCCCGCGACCAAGATTGCCGCGTAGCCCAGGGGTGTTCCGACGTTTCCAGATGGAGGGCCCCTTGCGCCGCTTGCAACAGGACTTGATGCTTTTGGAAGTGTACCAGACCATTGTTGTCTCGGAAAATGAGGACTTGAATCCCGCCCCCACTAAAACCGTGTACCAGGTACGCTTGCAGTCTGTTTTCCCCACAAGGAGCGAACCTTGGGCAAAAGTCAGAGGGTTTGAAAGAAGTGGGGGCGCATCATGCACCGGTACTAAAACTTTCGAAGCCCAACACAAAGGGAACATTGTTTGCTATTATACTTGTGCCAGATCGTTGTATTCGGGTGACAACAGAAAGAAGCAGCAAAGAGGAACCCGTCAGTTTGTCATCATCCGAACCGAGCTTACGCTTCTGCTGCATGCAGCGGTCGCAGCTCAAGAAGACCGACAACACGCACGCACGCATATATAAACAGAGGACAGTCACCCAACCGACGACGGTTTGTTTCGCACATATACAAGACGGAATACGAAGAAAAAGGGAGATATTCTGACACGCAGCAGCAGCAGCAGCAGCAACAGTAGTAAGCCCACCATCAAGTACTATTATTAATACTTGGTACAACATAAAAAACGCAAACGTACCCCCCCCCCCCTCCCGATCGAGGTAGACCACCTCTGCTAACACACCCGGGGAACCTCTCGTGCAGCATCTATTACCCCCACGACTACCACAAGAGAAGAGCAGCAATCAATTCCTTCTTCAAAAATTTTCTTGCACTCAAGGAGGAGGGAAGGAACGAAAACCGAACCAAAACCAGAAAACGTTGTTGTAAATAAATTCTCAAAATAAAAAATGCACCACCGAGACATACTAAGGCCATCGCCAAAACACACACGCACACGCACATGCATGGACGCATCCATCCCCAGCGGGAAGGTCGGATTCGTTCTCTTCTCTCGTCGACTCTTCTCCGCTCACGGCACGACAACAGACGAAAATAACACCAAAGGACGTCCACAAGCCGGGGCGGAGAACAAAACAAAGCAGACCGCAAGCAGAACGGACAATAGATCGGACGACAGAAACCGGGGGCAAAGAGTAACTGGAAAAATGCGAGAACAAACAAGGCAAACACCAAGCCCCCCCGCCCTACCCTCGTATCCCTCACACTCGCAGGCCATGCCAACCCCTCGGCTTCCGTTGTGCGGTCCTCCTCTATCGTAGCCCACTCCACTCCACTCCACCGCCCACCCACCAACGATGATAACCCCCGCGCACAAGTACAGCTACTGGTTACAACCCTCGCCGCAGCCAGCGGCCAAGGGAGACAAAAAAAACACCATGGCCTACTGGCGTCACGCCCGAACCAACACCCAACCAACCCCTCCGTCACTTCCCCCCCAACGCTCTCTCGAAGAAAGAGGGCTAAGGACGGGACGGGGGGTACTTAAGGCTAGGACCACTCCAACCAGTTATTTTTGAAGCAAAGAACTGATTTACAGAATAGACAAGAGGGGAGCCATGGGGCGAAAGAAGAACAAAAACAAAACAAAAATACTCCTGGTATGATATACATGTACCTCGTGATGTTATACCGGTGTGGTGAAAGGTTGTAGGATGGTTCGCTCGCCATATGAATACTGCGTCGCCCAGTGGATAGCTGGTCGAGGGAGGGGGGCGAAGGGGGCCCCCCGCCGCCACCCACCAACCCTGGCCCCAACTCCGGGCCTCCCGCCTCTCCCTGCTGGGGGTTGGCTCCACCCCCCCCGGAGGGCCTCCACCGGAGAAAAAAAGACAGTACAAAAACCCCGGGGGGCCCCAAACTTCCCAAAAAACCCCAAATGGGGAAAATATAATGGGAGGGGAAAACCCCCCC